TCTGCACAGAGCAGCTTGTCAAAAACCTCCCATCCGACTAGACCTGCAGCTAATGCTTCCTCCACCGAAAACTTCTTGTTTTTCTCCGGGTCGATGATGAAGCCGGTGGCCGCCTGCGCCTCCAGCAGCACCAGCGCTGTCCCTGGCCTCAGGATGCCCTTCCTCATGGCCTGGTAGATGCTCATCTTCTCATTGCTTGGCTGGACAAGGACCCCTGCGATGAAATTGCTGCCCTCCAGGTACCTGCGGACAGAGTCCATTTCGGTGACTTCTTTGACTGTTTTCTTCCCCTGGTTAAGCTCATCAAGGGTTTTTTTGTCTATCAGTTGGGACTGGAAGAGGTCACTGGCGGATACTCTCTTCCGCAGGCCCTTGAATGCAAACTTCTTGCCTTGTGTCTCAGTCTCTCTGATGATGGTGGTGACAATCGTTACGATTTCATGCAGCGCTTCGGTGTTCTCGTCTTTGTACTTCTGCACGAGCTCTCTTCTCTTGCCATCTGAGAGGTATTCAGAGTTGAGAAGGTCCCAGACCGACACCGTCTGTCCTTTGAACCGCCCTATGTTAATGCAAACGGTCACAGACTTCAACACCTTCATGGTTTGCTCGTCCACACAGAACATCGCGTCTTCGGACAGAGGAAGGAGCCAGAGACCCGAGTCAGCCTCACGAACGCACCGGTCCTTCAGCTGCTGGTAGGTCACGTTCTCCTTCGTGTTTGGGTCAAGAAAGACTTTGGTGCTGTCGTTCAGCTGGGAGAGGGTTTGGTCCAGGTCCTCATCGTAGAAGCCGTACCTGCGCGCAGCCTGGAGCGGGAGGTGGTGCTGGTGAATGGGGTCAATGACCCCTCCCGTGGCCAGCTGGGCCTCCAGCAAGGGAACAGCATCTCCCAGGGGAACCAGCTCTTTCCTGAGCGCTTGGCACAGCGAGATGGAGCTCCCCGTGTAGGGGTCCGTGTAGCCTGTCACCGCCCTCTCGGCCAGAAGCAGTTTCTCGGTGAGCTCTTCGCCAACCACACCGGCTTTCACAGCGTCCCTCACGCTGAGTCTCCTGTTTGTGGCTGGGTCAGGCAGGTACCCCGTGGCTGCCTGAGCTTCCAGAAGCCTCAGAGCAGCCCCAGGGAGGAGGAGATTGTTCTTCATGGCATCGTAAATGCTCATCTTCCTTTTGGATGCCTCTATGAACACGCCAGCGATGCTGCCCGTGCCCTGCAAGTACTTCTTCACACTCTCCATTGCGGCCACTTCTTCAGGAGTTCTTACACCCTGAGCAAGTTCCTCAAACATCTTCTCGGTAATGATGCCGGCATCCAGCAGCCAGACTGCCGGGACGCGGCCCCGCAAGCCTTCCACGGTGATCTGGGAGCGGGCTTTCATCTCCATCTCCCCAACCAGCTTGAGCACAAGAGCAACCAGCTGCTGCAGAGACAGTTCCTCGGAGCGGAACCGCTCCACGAAGTCTCTCCTCTGCTCCTCCGTGAAGTAGCCAGAGTGGATTAGCTCCCAGAGGGACACCCCTTTCTCCTTCACCTCGGTTTCCTTGAAAATCCGTTGGATTTGGTCGTCAGTGCGGGCAGGAGCAGCTGTCCGTGACAGAGGCAGCAAGTGGAAGCCGGAGACCTCGTCCTTCTGGCAGAGCTGGATGAGCTCAGCGTAGGTCACGGTCTCCTTGCTCTCGGGGACGCAGAAGGCTCTGTTGCTGTCGCTGGGCTCTGAAAGGGCCCTGCTGGTGTCCTCATCCAGGCACCCTCGCTTCTGGGCAGAGTCTACGGGGATGTAGTGGCCACAGGCTGGGTCAATGATGCCTCCTGTAGCCATCTGCACCTCCATCAGCTGCAGGGCCTGTTTGTCCGCGATCAGGCCCTTCTTCATGGCCTGGAAGAGGGGTATCTTCTTGCCTGTGAAAGGATCTTTATAGCCTGTCACAGCCCCTTCCGCATGCTGCAGCTTCTCGTGGACTTCTGGCCCAATGACTCCCTCCTTGACGGCGTCATCCACACAGAGTTTCTGGTTGTTCACCGGGTCGATGATGAAGCCTGTGGCGGCCTGGGCCTCGAGCAGCGGCAGGGCCACTCCTGGTACCACGATGTTTTGCTTCATGGCCTCATAAATGCTCATCCTCTGGTTTGAGGGCTGGAGTACGATTCCCCCAATGCTGCCCGAGCCATAGAGGTACTTTCTGACGGAGTCCATGTGCAGGACC